TCCGACAGGAAGGATATTCGATCCGGGAAATTGCAGCATCAGAGAGGGTGGGTTTAGCTTCCGTCCATAGAATATACATGAGAAGAGATCGGAAGTTTCGACGACAAGCCAAAACCCGGTCGCCCACTAACCCTCTTAGCGCGCTACGAACGAAATACTTTGCGATTAATCTACTTGGGAAAATGTACCTCCGCCGTTGAAGTCCAACGCGAGCTTAAAAATGAGTTAGAGGTTAACCTTTCGGCGGAGAGCATACGACGTATGTTCCGAAGAAACAGCTTATTCGCGAGGATCAAGCGAAAAAAGCCTTATTTCAAAAAACAACGATTGGCATGGGAGAAGAAATACCGAAGTTGTACGACTAACTTATTAGCCGACCGAAACGATTGGCGACGCGTAATTTTTCTAACGAAAGCAAGTGCCAAATTTTTGGATCAGACGGCCGAAAATATTGCTGGAAGAAACCCAGCGAACCGTTGAAAGACCAATATATCACGCCAAATGTGAAATTTGGTGACGATTCGATTATGGTTTGGGGGTTGTGTGACAGCTGACGGCGTTGGCGATTTGCAAAAAAATTGACGTAGGGACGATCTGGGAGAAAATGCTGGAGAATAGTGAGTTTATCTTTCAGCAAGTTAATGACCCAAAACATACCTCCGGAAAAGCAAAGAAATGGTTCGCAGATAATGACATTGCTTTGCTTGACTAGCTACCCCAGTCCCCCGACCTAAACCAAATCGAAAACCTATGGAACTACAGTCAGTGACAAAAAAACTTCGATCATTTTGTAACCAAGTCGAGTGATTTTGCATTATCCATCTTGGAGATGGAACAATCTACTTTTGAACTAAACTATTATGTTATTGGCACGAAGGTGAACGTTCTGTGTTAAAACTAAGTAAACTCACAGGCCTACCTATCTCAACTGTCCGATACAATGTCAAAAAATTAGAATCAACAGGAACAATTCAGCACAAAGGTGGTAATGGACGTCCTAAAAAAATTACGGCGTGTATATCAAGAAAGGTGGGTCAATATATTCGTAAAACCTCTTCTATGTCCCTACGAAAAATTTCTACTAAACTGAGTACCGAGGAAGTAGACATTTCATATCGTACAATTGGTAGACATTTAAAATCGCTTGGATATACAAAAAATCGACCAACTGCTACACCGATGTTAACAGAAATTCAAAAAAAGAACCAGGTACAATGGGCCAAACGTCATCTTAATATGACTGGAAAAAAACTTTATTTTCTGACGAAACGGCATTCCAACTATTTCCAATCATTGGTATAAGGGTAAACGACCAGTCCGTCCAATGCCAAAAAACCGTACAAAAATTTTTGCGTGGGGTGGTTTTTGTGCGAAGGGAAAAACTCGTCTATTTTGCTTTCGGGGTATTATGAATGCTGACTTTTATGTCGAATTTTGCAGCAACATGTTGGGGAAATTAAAGAAATGCTTGGGAGAAAATGGCGTTTCCAACAAGATAACGATCCCAAGCATACAAGCGGTAAAGCTAGGACGTTTCCTGCGGAAAATGTACCCGAAGTTCTTGATTGGCCGTCGTCAAGTCCGGACCTAAATCCTATCGAAAATCTATGGGCAATTGTTAAACGTGAAGTAGAAAAACGAATGCCGCAAAATCTAAACGAATTGGAACAGTTTGTAATGGAGGAATGGAATTCTTTGCCAGATATTACTTTAAAAAATTTAATAAATTCAATGTTACGCCGTTTTCAGTTAATTATTGCGAATAAAGGTGAAAGGATCGCGTATTAAATTTATGATAATAAAATGGTTAGCTTTTGAGCTTTCGAACAATATATTGATCATGTGACTTAATGTGATCTGCGTGAAATTGTGATAGGACATACTAAATCAAGTTTTTTTGTCACTGACTGTATATTAAAAAATATCTTTATGTAACAATATTTATGATAGAACACAACTTAATTGTTCCGATTTTGTTTTTTTATAGAGTTCTAACTGTATAAAATTTTTACAATAACTTTACAGATAAAAATATTTTTCAAATTAAATCTAAAAAATATATATAGTTCATTCTTTCAAAACTGATATTCTTAAAAAATATTTTTCAAATTAAATCTAAAAAATATATATAGTTCATTCTTTCAAAACTGATATTCTTAATAAACAAGTTTTATATTAATTTTGAAAGATTATCATATTTAAAAAATTTAGTCTTTTAAAAAATTATAAATCATGTAACTTTAAAAAAATAATTAATTAGATAATCTTTTTTTGAAAATACTAAATAAAAAATATTATTTAATAAATTATTATTATTATTATTATTTTTTTCATTTATATATGGTTTTTATTGTATTTAATATCATAATATTATCTATTAAAAGAATTATATTCTATATTATTTTTATAATATTAATTTATATTTATATAAATATTTAATAATATTATAAAAGACAAATTTTACAAATTTGTATTATATATTGAAATAAATAATATTTATATTAAAATTTTAATCTAATATTTTATTATTTATAGTAACAATCAAAATAATGCAACTATATCAAAATTTATTAATAAAATATAGTAAAATATAGATTTTTTTCTTTATATAAAAGTTTTCAATTTTACTAATAAATAATTTTTATTTTTATATTAAAATAAAAATAATATCACATATTCTAATATATATTTTTTGATTTAATTTGATCAAGTTTTCTGATTATATGTAAAGTCAATAATTTTTTTATATATTTTAATTATTAAAAATTATTAATTTTAATTTTATATGCAATTAAAACAATTTAATTGAATATATATATATTAAAATATATAATATTGTCTTTATTTTAATAAAAAAATAAAAAATATTATTAGTAAAATTAAAAGCTTTTATAAAGAGAATAATTCATATTTTATTATATTTTATTAATAAATTTTGATACTTCTTGAATTATTTTTGATTGTAACTATAAGTATTAGTTATTAAAAATATTAAATTATCAAATTTAAATTATAAAATAAATATAATAAATCAATTTTTTATTAATTATAATAAATTATTAGTTTTAATAAAATTAATATTAGAAAAATAAATTATATTAAAATATAAATTATTATTTTTCTTTCAATATAATAACAAATTGTAATAATAAAATACAAATTTAATATATTTTAAATTTTAATTTAATTTGAAAAATTTTATAATTATTTTATAATTTTTTATTTTAACTTAAATGTTAAAAATTTCAATTTATTACTTTTGACACAAAATTTCGCAAAATTTTACTTTGTGATATTATGAAAACTTGTTTCTAATATTCTAGAGAACTTTTTATAATTTTTAAATAATTTCTCATTAAGATATAAACAAAAAACACGTTTACTATTATTTTCACTGGAAACTATATATAATAATTTTTTTGTATTTATTAATTATAACTTATTAGTAATTTATAATAAAAAATTAACAATTTTTAAAAATAAAAAATATAATAATTCAAATTATATAATAATAATAATCAAAAATCAAAAATCTATAATAATTTTAAAATTTTTAGTGAAATATAATAATTATTTATATTTAATATATATTTTTAGATTTTTAAGATTTAATTTTTCTAATTGCAAAGTAAATTTAAAAATCTATATATATTTTAATTATTAAAATTTCTTTAACTTGCTTTACAATTAGAAAATTTTCTCACATTAAATCTAAAAAAATATTTGTTATAATATAAATTATTATTTTTATTTTAATATAATATATAAAATATTATTAGCAAAATTAAAAACTTTTATACAAAAAAATAATCTTATATTTTAATATTAGTGCATTATTTTTTATTGTTATTATAATTAAAAATATGAAATTATTAATATATATATATATATATATATATATATGAATTTTGCAAAATACTTAATTGCTGGTTTCAAATAATTTCATTTACTAATATATAACAAAAAGTATTATATCTATGCATATGCATTGCAAAAATTATAGAAAATTAAAGTTAATAGATTTATCTATTCTAAGATAATGAAAGCTCAAAGAATTACAACTAATTTATCAAATTTGTATTGTTTAACTAACGTTTGCTTTATCTAATGGTTATAAGATGCATTTTTCTCATTAGCAATTGATATATTAAGCACGATATTAGAATTTACATTTATTCACAAAAATTCTTACTATTACACAATTATTCAAAAAATAGCTTGATATTATATGCCTAATATTTAAATGATTATCATTGATACAGAATACAATAATTAAATTAATGGTACATGTACACAAAATGGATTAATAAAACGATAAATACTGTATAATAAAAAAATATTATACATTTTAAAATGTTCCATTGCAAATCGATAATTATATTATTAGATTAGATCCTGATTGTGTTCAATCATGATGGCTGTTGTTCAATTGGAGACATTGGTAAGTACGATGAAGAATCATGATTCGGCAAGCCAGTATTATTACAAGTCTGACTTTTGGCTATAGCCTTCTCTACTTGTTCCTATAGATTGAATCAAATGAATGTGAGGTATAGCAAAGACTGTATAAGGCTAATTTATAAATGAGTTAGTCCAAAGACATTAATAATTCTCTTATTGACTTACCGTAAACTTGCTTGTCAAGAATCCAGTTACACTCATCAAATCGCTAACAGCCTTCGTCATCATCGTCTGGGGCGTAGTCTCTTTGGTAGTTTGCACTCTTACAATCACAGTTTCTTCGAACGGATGTTTCACTTTGTAGCCAGCAAAGACGATTTGTTTCTCTTTTAAGAGTTGTCTTTATTATTGATTTCATAGGCCAATTAAAAATTAGCAAAATATGCTAGAATCAAAACAAGCTCATGTGACATTTTACCTGTGTAATAGGTTACCAATTGTATGGTCTTCTTTTTCGATTTTGAAAGTAACAGCATTTTCGATGTTGTGATCTTCCTCAAAAGAGATTCTGTGACAAATTTAAATACATGTATGATAATGTTACCATTCACAAGAATATAAAAAAATATAGTGGCTGCGTAATCATTAAAAACAAACTTCTTTACACCCTCAGGAAGATTAAAGTTATCTCTATTTGGTGCGTTCATTTTACCGGGAACAATCCTAAAGAGAACGGAGAAAAGTATCTTTATCCTATTGTTATATATTAGAAAGTCGTCTGATTGATAGAAGCTTCAAATTATTAATACATTTATTTTTTTGAGAAATAAATATATAAATTAAGATTGATGCTTGATACAATGCACACATTCTATTAAATAGAATTCTATTAAATAACATTCTATTCAATGAAATCGGTTGCTTGATACAGTGCTCACAGTCTATGGTGCATAACGTCTAAAGTCATCAAACGTTTGTGTTTTATAAAATGAATAAACTTCTTTACTAATAAGTAAATATAAAATTTAATCCGTGAATATGCTCAGAAAGGGCCTATTCTATCATATTCACGGATTAAATTTTGCATTTACTTCTTTGTAAAGAAGTTTACCCATTTTACAAAATACAAACGTTTGATGACTTTAGATGTTATGCACCATAATAGAAATTCTACTTTGTGTATAAAATACAGGCTACGTAATTCTTAATACAGTTATACATTAAAATCGGTATTGTCCAGCGTTAATAAAAACAGCTATATCACAGTAAGGTCCTCCTTCCGTCATGCTAAAACCATACTTGTTCATTGTTTTGCTTGTCCACTCTCGCACAACAGCGAACATCAAAGCACGCGCCTTTGCTCTTTTTAACCGCACCCGTCTTATTTCTTAAATGTGTTTCGTTAGATCCATCTGCACTAAAACTTCTTACCGTATATATCAATAGATCTCAATCTCAGACTCATACAAGGATGTTGGTACGTTGATCACTTAATTTTTCGTTTTCACTTGACGCGGTCTTATACTGCAGCAGCGTAGTACTTAATGTTGACTCTCACAGAGGCATGGATATATCTTGGGTATCTTGAGATTATGGAATCCAACGCTAAATTGAGTTCATTAAAATCCACATGGAAGAAGCGGTTTAAGGAACATCTAAAAGGAATTGAAAAGGATTGCTCAACGCACAGCTGCATCAGTTTTGATTAATCAGATCAGTATACGTCTATATACAGGCCATTGTTAACGAAATCTCGCTAGTCTGTATAGTTGTACCACATGGGAGCAGGTGACGCTCTGTTAACTCATGGAGTATGTGACGTCCTCGGTGCAATTGTATAGCAGGCTCCGATGGCCAAAAGGAAATTGGCTATAGCAGTGGTAATTTATTTGTTAGAAAAAGGATTTAAAGGTAAATTCTGAGAACTATTTGAGGCGAAAAGAAAGCTGAAACGGCAGGTATATGATAAGTAATAGATATGTTATGAATCCATTTCATATTGTCGTATGATTGCAAACACATTGAAAGTAATGAGCACTGCCGCTACCTGCCAAGCCAGGAAGATAAACTAGTCGGACAAATAGAAATTTCAAGCGTTAACAGTAACGAAAATATCGTAAACATGGTAAGGAGTTTGGAGATCGGCTATGCATTCAACTCTTGTAAAAGTAAAAAATAATACTTCTTGTTTTATAGAAACGTCAAAGAGATAACTATCTTGAGCGAGTAAAGTTAAAACTGACATTGAAGATTCCCTCCAATCTTCTGATGGTTCTTATAGGCTGATGCGTTGGTTGCTGGAGAGGACTTTAACGAAAACGAAGAGGAAGTTATTCGAAGTGACGAAGTGAGTAATATGTAAACAAATGTGCTTGTTAACTTTTTCCACCATGCAGACAATAACAGACATCTTATGAAATGCTGTTAAATGTCCAAAGGCGATGGAAACAATTTGTTCGGTCTATACGAAGCAACACCCTGATGATGATCTCATTGACTTCCGTTCGTGTTCGCCCTTCCTTAAAAAGCTTCCAAATTCAGCAGCAGCATTTTAACTTTCAGAAATGAATGCGATAACAGAATCGCTAGTTCCTACGAATGTGGACGATTTTCTCGTGGGATTTTTTTCACAAGATCTAACTGCTACAGAGTGGCAAAACAAGGTCGACGATCTACAATATCCAGACCAAAACGATCATGTAATGGTTGCTGAGCGGTGTACCTTACCGCAACTGTATGTAGGCATTATCATCATATTGAGTCGTTTTTCCAGTCTGTTCTAAACATTTTTCTTTCGTGTCGTGTAGCATAAAAGTATTCTCTCTTGGAGCATACAATCCCCTTCTCAGCATTGCAACAATTGAATCAGCTCATCATAATGCTTTTGTTCATCCGTGTCTCGATATAGCAAAATACATCACAAATATGGAGAGATTCTATGACCGATGCAGATAAATTCCAGTTTATATATGTATAAGGTTCAAGACCAATAGCGAAAGAAGACAAGGAGATTACTGGCAACAAAGATCACCGATAATTTGAAGAGCATATTTGCGAATGTTGTAAAGGAACTAATCAAAAACTGGAGACGTTTGCTAAGCCAGGAAAAAACCTCCAAATAGCCTGCAAAAGAACCAAGTGCATGCATATTACCTTTAAGAGAACCTGTTTTGTACTTGTAATAGTGAGCGAATTATATTATAAGATTGGAACTATTCGAAATGTTGAGTATAAATTAATTTTTTTTATCAATAAAGCTATTCTTTATGAAATTTGGTTGTTAAGATCCTTACTTAAATATATTCATATGCTCATCGGGTTTGACTGCAGGTAACCCTGGTCAGGATTTTCTAGACGGGTCTACTCCCTAATATATACATGACAAATTATTGACACTTACAATTTTTTTAATAAGCAAATATTTTCGGTAAAAAAGTGACAGCTTTTAAAGTTTGCCATTCATATAAAATATTCGATTTTTTCAGTTAAAAATATTCGATTCTTCAGTTAAAAAATAGAGATCGAATTTGAAAAAAACCTATAGTATGACTACCAACATCAAAAATTTTAACCAATGTACGTGTTAATGTTAATCTCCTGAACATTACTAAATCGAATTATAATTCCACTATTCTGGTCGCTTTGACTTTTATAAAATGAAACTTTATTTTAAGACATGTGTTAACGTTAAATGAGATAACGGACACATTACGCGTTTATTTTTGTATTACTTGCGAAAGGTCTCTATCTTCAGCATACAGCTAGACCTAGATTTAACGATGGATCAGGACATATCGATATCTTATCATTATCGTAAATCGCATCGAGGTCAAATTGTATTACATTACCTGGGTTTTTGGTTATTCCATAATAATTAAAAAAACTACATGTAATTTGCCCTGCACTTTAGCGTATTCAATTGTATTAAAAAACAGAAAGCATCATGCTTGCACTTTAGAAATCACCTCGTTCATAAACTCTAAGGTAATTTACTTTGAATCATATAACGTCTTCACAACAACGGGTATGTCTTTCAGATCGTTTGAATTTATTTTTTCCATGATCCCACTCGTTAATGCGTTTTATATGGGATAATTTCTATTAAGTAAAGTCATTTTTTCATTTTCCTGAACTAACCGTTTTAAATCCTCATACATTGGTTTGAATAATTTGTGTTAGATAACTTTTATAAAACATTCGCCGGCGCTATTTTATAATTATGAAAAAATATCAACAAGCATTACGATGTTCCGACCACATTGTCAATACGTAACTTTTTAATTGACAATACATGATTTTGAGTTGAAAATATGAAATCAGAAGAAAATTGCACAAAGAAAAGCTGATTTTGGGAATCGCGTTTTTTATATTAGGAAATTGCAGCATATGTTTATTGGATAACTATAAGAAAAAAGTTATCAACAATTCCAAAAGTCGACTTTTAAAACATTGCAAATTTCCACACCAGAATAAAGCCAATAAATAGTACATATAAAGAATAATTGCGAAACAATGATATAGATACTCGCATTTTAAGCGTTTAAAGACGCTTAAATATAAAATCGGGTTTTAAGCGGTTTTAACAGTGTAGTCTAAAAACATGTTTCTAGAAAGTAATCTATCTGTTAATTTTTGGATTTTATTTTTAGCTTAGTAATTAATTTTATTTTTAAATAATTTATTATAGAAATTAAAAATTTATTTAGTAAACATAAAAATCATTATATAAATTCGCAGCCACAAATTAGCCGACTGCTTCACTCATAACCTCTACAAATGAACTCGAAACATATGGGCCTCGAACTATAACCTTATTGAAAAGGTGAATGAAAAGCTTCGATGCCCAGTCTTATATATGTAAAGAGTCTAAAGGTATCATGTTGAGACATACAGCATTCTACTCTTTTAAACAGGTGGAATTCTTGAAACTAGAGGACTAAAGAAAAATAGAAAGTAAAGAAGCACAGAGTAAAAATGTAATACATATCAATTATATACGAGTCCACGAGTCCAGATGAGGTGGATACTAAATATCTTGGTTTTGGGACTTTATTAATTAGCATATAATAAAAATGTATAAAAATTGCAATTACTAGTGCCGGCTAATGATAAATCTAATTATCTATACACAGATATATTTATAATGAAGCGGTTATTATCCAGCGTATGTTTTCAGCCATCCGATATAGAGTTTTTAAGATATATAATCGTTAAAATATAAAATATACCAGTTCAGAAATATAGAGAGAATCGGCGCATTATGATTCGCGATAATGTTTGAGATGCCTTTGTAAAAATTATATGTTTATATAATTGAGTTTAGAAGGTACCAAATAGTATCATCGCTGATAGTGACAATGTTATCGTTATGGTGTAATTTCATATATAGCGCCGGAAGTATTAAGGAAAAAAATAAATGACCCAGTGATTCGTTTGAATCATATGTAGTTTGGATTAAGAACACCTTTTCAAACAATATTTCCCTAATTTTGTTATGGGCTTCGACCAGCCGATCTGGTATCAGAGCTAATAATCAAGTGTTGGGATGTTGATCCAGTAAACACTGTTCAGTTGCAAGTTTGGCTTGTGCTCTTGAGAATCTCTTTTACAGATGCATCAAAGAAAAGAATAAAATCAATAAGCAAGCTGAATATAAATAATATATGGTTTGTAAATTATTAAATTATTTTGGTCAATTGTCATTTTGTGGGTGGCGTGACAACCACAATCCCGATAACCGATAAATCCGACAAACGAAAACCTGAAAACTCAACATCCAAACATTTTATAATTCCGAAATACCACAAATCCATTTTTTGAATATTTGTATGTTTCCGTAATATTATGTTTTTTTCCTTCAATTTTGATATCTTTACGCCAGGTTATATTTTCATAACGTGATTGCTGATAATATCGATAATCCAAACGTGGACGAAAAACTTTTGCTACACATGCCCACTGCCGTTACATTGACGAAGACCGTCTCAATCGGAATTCTAAACCAATATATCAATAAATTCTAAAGCTTAATTATTGACTCTGAAGTCCATTTCTTTTTAATACAACCAACTGTGATTTGAAAATCTGGATGAGTCTCGTTCCACCATACAACGAATTTTTCAGGCGTAGTAAGCCCTTTCGCCTTGAGGTCGAACATGTACTTGAGGTTGAGTAAATTTGTATATCGATACTTTATGTGCATTATTATGAAAATTTAATTAAAAAAATTTGTTAGATGTATTGAAAATATTACAAATATCAACAATAATGCGACATTATATTTTCCCTTTTTGTCGCCAAATTAGAACCACATATAATAATGTAACAATAAAAAGCTTTACGCCCAAAAATTATTCTTAAAAATACACTTTAAATTACACCATAAATTATTCAATAATTTACACTTAAATTACACTATAATTTCTGCAGTAATTTAATCGGTAATTTATGCAGTAAATTAAATTTAAAAATGTATAAAATGATTAGTGCTTGAAGAACAATAAATGAGTGCAATAAAAGGTGCAATTAAAGCCTTAATAATATAATTGCTTACTCGTGTATAATATCCTTTATAAGAGCCACCTTTAATTCACCACGTTAACAAATTACTTGTTGTAAATGATCCAGAAAAAGTGATTGTTTATTATTGATTGAGAATACATATTCATCAAAGGATGATATTGAGAAAAAGCCTCGTGGTTAAAAGACGGACAATAATATTAACGACAGACGAATACAGCACGATATTGGCAAGACCTTTAAAAATTTAACCACATTAAAGTAGTATTAGTCTAACCGCTCCCACCCATGTTACCGATCGATAGTCTAATTCCCCCAATTGACTAATGACCTGTAACACTATCGCTTTGTTTAATACTTACGAAAACATATTAGCGTTAGAACAAGCATTCAAAACAGTTCGCGATCAACATGCAGCAAATAATGATGTAATAATCGATATATTAATCCTCGAAATTTTGTTGATCACAGTAACGAGACACAAAACAACAGAAACTACTAATCAGTAACAATAAGAGCAAAAACAATAATTGAAGAAAGAAAGCATATCAATAAACTTGGACAACAGTAACAATAAGAGTTCAATAATACTTGGAGAAAACCCATCCAAATCACCACCAACCAAACTCGAACAAATGGAGCAGCGAATAGTAGCAGTAGAGCTACCGGTCAGACACAGTAAACCCATACCAACAAAAGAAAATGTTGAAAACAGATAACTTGCAACCAACACCAACACTCGTAAAGAAAGAGCACAGAAAATGGCTGACAACCGATAAAAATAGTCACGAAATTAACTAATTATGATAACCAATGATAGGAAACCATGTCTTCATGGAGTAACGGACAAACAAGTGTCCAAATTATCACAGAAGAGTAGTGGAAAGCAAAGCAGCAAGGATATCGATATTGTTAAACGGTGACTCGATACATGTACAGATACATGCAGTCTCCAATGAAATTTGTGTTTGCATTTAATACACACGTGAAAAAATGCCCAGTGGTACTTTCATATGCTTGTCTCAAATGGCTCATTAAATCAGTTATCGTTTAATTTGATAATGTATTTCCGGAGAAACGGCTACCACATCCATGGAAGGCAGCAAGGGCACGGAAGGTTTATTGCGCAATTCTTTCGATCGAAAGAATTGATTGATCATACCAATCAGCTTCCATAGGAGGCGCGTTTATTATCCTTTGCTTCGGCGGCGGGAGTGTCAGGAAAGCAATGACGGCTTTTATGGATGGATGCATTCATCGATCCTCTGGCGTCGGCGGGTTTCTGTGATGGACAGGGAAAGCATGGCTGTACATAGCGATGGATAGTGTAAGATTAGAGCTGTTCGTTTTGCCTATGGCAAAGCATTCTTATAGCCGGGTGTGTTTGTGTTGATTCCGACGGTAGACCGCGTGATTGGAGCGATTTATGCAAAATCTCTTGTTCAGGCGGAAAAGCACGGTTGTACACAACGGTGCGTTGACTTCTGTATATGACTATGTCTTATAATTTTCAATCCAAATTTGACCAAAGCTTTGAAAAGGTATATTTTTCTCTTTTTGTTCAACGACAAAAAACCCCGTCTCGTACTTTATTGGCACCCCACGCCCTTTTGAAGCAACAAAACACGACTAGAATACTAGTCGATAAATAATAGTACAACACACTAAACGACTACTAACTAACTATACTACTACTACTAACTACACTACTGCTACTTCCCCATCTACACCATCCTCCGTTCATCTTCCAGTACCACCTTCCACCTAATCGAGCTGCTTTGGTTTCAAATTCAAGTTATGGACGATGAATTTTGGCTCTTTGATTTCGAGTTTAATAATTCTGCCGGTACCTACAACCATAAATTTTGTCAAGAATTATATCACCTTTCCTATGGATGACGAAAATAACTCCCGAAGCATGAGCTGCTTTGAGCTTTGATTCGAGTTGCTTGGCTTTGTAGCTGAGCTCGCTTTAATTTCGAGTTGAATTCGGTGAATTCAAGGATTTGATTTGCCTTTATCTAAAAGCATAAGTTAAGTTAATTAATGAGATTACCTTTTTCTCGACAACAATAATTAAGTAGGCCTAGTTATCTTAAATCAGTTATCTCAGAATATTTGCATGTGAATTTGCATTTGATAATTTGCATCGCAACCTTTCTTGTTTATCTAAAATAAGACAAAATAGCAAGTTAATAATCAATCTCTAGAAGAAGCTCCCCCTTTAAAGTTAAGTTAGCTGAGCTGCTTTATTTTCAAGTTTGATAATTCTGCCAGTATCTACGAACCAATGCTTTGCCAAGAATTAATAGAAAAATTCTACTCTAAATAAGCTTTAGAAGACCTATTTTGATTCTATTTTTTTGATAATAAGAATAACTTCTGAAGCACGCCCACCTATATAAAGGACTCAGCTGACGATGAAATTACCCAATCAACAGTCCAATCCCACAAATAATAATGGAACTTCTCTCAAAATTAATCATTAAGTAAGCTAGTAAGCTTAGTTACCTTAGATTAGAACATTTGCATGTATTGAAGTGGAATCCTTCATTTCACGGGACCAGAGGGAAACCAAGTTCTAGGTGCTCTTTTCCAGGAACTCCATCTGTTATGTCATAACAGATTCGCCATTTTCCAATACTTTCTTGATCCTTTTAATAAAATTCTCACTAAAGCAGAGAATAATGAAATGCCTCATACACCTATAAAGCTGTTCAGTTCATTTATGTTAAAACAAGTCACATTCAAACATGTGACCAAGTGTTACCTTTCTTGGATGTGATAATTAGTGATTCATTCTCACTTCTCTTTTTTTACCCATCCATCTATATTATATGCAAATCTTGCTTCTTTGAATAATTAAAACTTGGTAATGCTTTTATTATCTTGTGATAATAAAATAAATATGATAAATATTAATACTTAGATACTGATTTATGTTGATAAAAAATAACTAAAATTCATGATATCCAACATATTAACTATTGTTATTGTAATAACATTAAATCCTTTAATTCTGTAATTTTTACTCCTAATTTTCACATGAATACATGTATCCACTATAATTTTCTATATGATAATCCTTCCAAAAATTAGTTTCTTGTATAAATTATATTATAAGCTAAATTTAGAAATATTTTATTACAAATATGAATGAATATTACATATCTTTTTTCTTGTATCATGAACATCCTCATCATTCTTCAATATTAATATACAAAATGATAGCAATTATCTAAAGAATGATAATTATCTGAAAATTAAAAAATATTAAACAATTATTGCTTAATTACTTTTAGAAAGTTTCAAACAATTAATGTAAAACACTAATCTTAGAATTAGCATAGTAATTCAAAATTGTATATATATAATTACTTTTAGATCTCTGAAAAGATATGTTTTTGATCAAATAAACTAACAAAGTTATTACTTGTAGTAATAATATTACTTGTAAATACACTATTATTTTATTTTGTTTTGTGATTAATACAAATTATTAGCAAATAGTAAATGCTTCTTCACTCTAAATAAATTATTAATTTTATTGAATTGAAATTTTGTTTTTATTTTAATATTAAGTTTTTTCTTGATCAAATCATATCAATGATTTCTGTTATATTTACAATTATTTTAATTATTATTGAATAAGCAAGATTTTATTATTAAGTTGATTTGATTTTTGTTACAAGAGTAATTTTTATTCTATTTTAAAAATGTTCTTATTAATAAAAGTTCACTTGCATACAAGTTGCCACAGAAAACTCTTAGAATGCTCAAAGAAAATCTTTTTATAATGAATTATCATAGATAATATAATATTTGTTTATTAAATATTGAATTTTAGTATTCTAATCATGGTGAAAAAAAGTATCAGTTACGTGATAATAATTAGAATTATTGAAATATCTAATTTATATTAAAGATCAAGTATTAGAGTTTGAATTAGAATTTGAGTAAAGATTATATATAAACTTGCTTCCTGATATTTTTTAATAGTGCTTCAAGATAAATTTAGGTATCTGTTTTTTGTATTTTTTGCATTTTTTATTTTCTTGTATCAGATTTGTTTTTTTGGAACTGATTAAAAATTTGCTACATTTTTATTGGTTATATACATTTTTGCACATTCTTATTATCACGTGACTGACACTTTTTTCACTGTGGCTAGGGTACTAGAAGAAAGCATAAGTCTGTACTTATACTGTTAGTATATGATAATATAATTATACCTAAATTCTCACTTATATAATTCAAAATATCTTTTGCAACTTCATCTGATATTCAAATTAAAGTTGAGAAAAAATCTTTATTTACTAGCCTAATATTATATTCAAAAAGATCTTTATTTGTATTTTACTGAAAGATTAACTTTTTTGAATCTTGTTTCTAATTTCACTTTTTTTCAGATTCACAAAAATCTGATCAAAATGATTTAAAATTGTTTCATCTTAGGTGACTCTTGTAATTTTTTAGTTGTTTTTGAAAAAAGAATTGCAATTAAAAATAATATAATTTCTTCTGACCAATTTAATATTGAACTTCTTAAAGACTTCATTTGAAAATAAAAAAAATATTATTGATAGCTATAACATAAATCTTTAGAAGATTGAGATCAAAGGAATTCAAGAAACCAGAAAAAAATTTCAAGATGTTGTCATGATTCATTATTTTGGGCTCTTCTTGATATTATTATAAATTGTGATTTCAACAATCATCTATTTGTATTTAATTATCAATTTTATTTGTTTACTATTAAAATCCAGTTGCTTTAGAATCAATATGCAGTATGACTTCTTCTATTCTATTAATTTAGAATAAGTAATACTACTACTAATAAATATCTTCCTTTGTATTTACTTAGTGTGATAATAGTTCTATAATAATATAATATTGATATTCTATAGCAATCTGGTTAAGTGTTCAATAGTGTATAAATATAATGATGTAATTATATATAATCAATTTGTTTATAGATAAGATTTAATAAAGGTAATCAAGTAATAGATATTTAATTAAAGATATTTTATTTAAGTCATTAGTTGGACTAATTGCTACAACTTGTTTTTTTATAGCTACAAGACCAGTTATATTTATATCTAATATTTTTATGACTAAATTATTACAATATAAAATATATTATATATATAATATAGTGAATAATATTGACATGTCTAAGAACTCTGCTATTTCTGCTATCTCTACAATCTCTACAATCTATATTAATGCAAATTATGCAAATTATGCAGATCATGCAAATTATGTGAATTATAAAAATTATAAAATTAATTAATAAATAATAAATAAATAATAAATAATAAATAATAAATAATAAATCACATGTAAAATCACATATACAAGTCACATATGGAAATCACATATCAAAATCACATGTTATACATAAAAGTCACATAATTTCAAATTCATCTAATAAGAATATAATAAATTAAATAAATAATTAAATTAAATAAATTTAATTATTAAAAATGTTAAATATAATAAAAGTGGTTAACTATTATTAAAATAACTATGTTATAAAATATTTAGATCATAATAATGTTGCAAATTTTGACTGATTTTCAGTTTGATTTTATACTGGATCTATACAATATGTTGAACATCCATATCTTTGGAACACATGATCAAATCTTTGAGATTTATAGTCATCCTATAATTAAGATGAATATTTTTGTATTTAGATCAACAAAATTAGAATAATATTGATAGAGTTATTGATATTTAAAGTCAATACATGAAAAATTGCAAAATGCTAAACGGTTCATGAGATAATAATATCATATCAATTTGTATTTAAAATTTTGTGAACTCAAATTTGTTTGATTTGTTTAATTAAGATGAACATTTTTTGTATTCAGATTACAAAAATTGGTTGGATATTGTTGGTATTTTTTTGAGATTACTAATGTTAACTAGAATTAGTAAGAGTTTCTTAGATGTTTAATTTTTGTGCTGATTTTACTATGACTGGATCCAATAAATTCTTTGGTGAGTATTTTATTTTTTGTTGATATTTCAGATAAGATGAAAGTTTTTGAATAAAAGTGATCTTGAAAACAATGTCAACATTCAAATAAAATTTTTTAATTGATTAATTTATTTTTGCTATTAATCAAAAACATTGTAAATTACTTATCAACTTTATGATTAGTATTTTTAGTGGGATTTATTCAAAGAATATTAAAGCTTATTATGTTAACACTAGTATTTTTATTGGTTATTATCACATGAAACTATCTTGCTTTGTCTATTGATCAAAATTATTTAGTCAATCATTAATTACTTAGCACGTGAAGTTTTTCACATGATCTGAATCCAGATCGAATTCAAAATCACATGATGCTACCCGGCTTTAGTGGATCCTTAAATAAGGCAAATGTTAAAAATAGGAATAGGAATCGATTCTCAACCCAGAATCGATTCTAAAATCGATAAATAATTTTCGATTATATATCGATTCTCGACGACAGCAAGCGATGACATAACTGGTCTTTGGTTTTGTTTTTCATTGCATGTTGATTTTCTTCTCTTTTCGTTGAAATAGTTGTTGTACTTTGATTAGTTGAATTCGTAGATTACTACGTGATAAGTATTGTAATTCTGTACCCGTTTCATTACATGTACTTCAATATCAGTTGGTTATATCAATGTTAGCATTATTGAATGACAGAGTATTTTATCATACGTTGCAACATTTGCATGTTTTTCACAAAATCATGATGTTTCAATTATTTACACAATTTATTGTTATCGTTATGCATTATTATTATTAATCGATTTTGTCTTTGAAATCGATTCTCAAATATTAATCGATTCTACAAAATTAATCAACTATGGTTTAAGAAAAGAGAAAATAAAATGGCTGAGATAAAGAATTACGTGATAATGCGGCCGGAATTAAGTTTATTCGAAAATTCGTGGGGAGTGTATTTTTGAGGATGACCTCGACTTGGCGCATTGTACCAATTTTAAAAGGCGTAGATGATTAGCATTTGTGTTATTCTTTGGGGGTGGTCGGATACTTATGATTGATACTGTAATTGTAAATTTTGATTAATCACAAAAAACCTGAAATTTTAATATAATATAGTGTCCGGGGACTTTTGTTCGCTGAGTGTTACGCCAATGTTGATAAACAAAAATGTGTTAAAGCAAAAAATTTATTGGCAAAGTTTCATAAGGTAAAGGGGGAGATTATCATCTTAGAGAAGATTATATAAGTAATGATCTGCAAAAATTTCAGCGCCTTTATGTGAATAATCAGGTTAGGCGCATTTTTGTGAACACATATCGATATGTAATTAATTTACAAATTTGAAAAGTATAATCAACACAAATATACTTGATATAGAATTATTGGAATTTACAAAAAATAATGTTTTATCGCATCTTCTTTTCGAATCGAACTTGATGGCAGGGGTCCGCTTCACCGAATGCTAACTCAAACTTCTCTCCTACGTCAAGCTTATCATCTTTTTGTTCTTTACGGCATTGGGAATGCTCACTTGCAGAATATAATAAATAATGCGTTGAGATTTTGTTATTTGAAATTCGTCACGTAATGATAGTTGTACTTTTTTCTTTTCATTCACACGCCATTTTAAGTGATAGTAATTAAAAAACACAGTTGATCAAGGATCCAATGCATCCTTTGCAGTAGATATTTGACGGACCATAGGAACCAATTCTTTTGTAATTCGCTCAATCCAAGAAAAATATCCTTTTAATTATGCATTTAATATTAATATCAATTTTTGGAGAAAAATAATTTATTATTGTAGAATATTCACTTTTAATTTCAACATTTCAGGTTGGTTTCTTCGGGATTGGGACCAGCCACATCTATAAGGGACTTTAGTGCTGACATGTGTTAAGATCAGGTTGTTGGTCCAAAAAATTCAATGTGTTCAATCAACAAAGATTGAAAAATAGCCTATCTCTATGAAACTGCCTTTTGTGTTCTAAACAAACAAGGGTTCTTGCAAAATTTTGCTTCGACACAATGAAACTTAAAATATATATGGCAGATATTCCGATGTATGGAACTCGATAGTTGTACACATTGTACACAGTGAAATTCGAATATAGCAAATACAGCAGATATTCCGTGTTATGAGAAATCATATTACGCAGATAATGCATAATCTACACCGGAATATATCCGCTATGTTTGCTATATCGAGTTTCACTGTCTCACCATACAGAATACCAATATAACTATATTCAGTTTCACTGTGTATAATAGTCTCACCATACAGAATACCAATATAACTATATCGGGTTTCACTATGTACAACAAAAATCACTACGCGGAACATCCGATAATACTGAGCTATAGATATATAAGCACCCACTGGTATTTTGCTGAGTTAGATTTTGTTCTTAACTACTCATTTTTTTTTCGTTGGACAGTGAAGCTGCGTGGCTATATGCCAAGACGAGGAGAGCGATGTTGACCAAACAGAAGGGACTGGATCTTGCCATTTCAAATGATGTTGAGAGATTTGTTGGATATCTAAAAAGAAAAATACATGTTCTTAAAGGGAATTTTGTTCTTAAAGGAAATATTCTTTTTAAGGGAATCATTGCATAGCGTTATATACTTGATTGCTGTTATTGAGCGCGCTCACACAAGGTATGCGTTGCTCTTTTTTTAACCTCAATGATATGATGAGAAATAGTCTGTTTCATTCGTGTTAAATCAAGTTAGGGTAGGTTGCTGTCCTTAACAGATAGTAAATGAAAGTGAGTAGATTGCTAGTTGGGGTTGGTCGCATTGATCATCCTTAACAGATAGTAAATGAAAGCGAGTAGGTTGCTAGTTGGGTTAGGCGCATTGATCGACCTTAACGGATAGAACTAACATGTTATATAACATTTTGATCAAAATGAGAGTTTATTTTTAATCCATCATAATCATGCTGATATATTTTTTTATTTTAAACAAATCATCTAGATCTAGTCTCCTGTCTGGTCAACGTTGCTCTCCTCTTCTTGGCATTTAATCACAGCTCTACTCAAATCGAATATTTTAACTGGTTTCTTCGGGATGGTGTACTAGGCCTGATATTGGATCTCGTTCTTGGACTACTCGTTTTTTCCGTTGTGCTGTTATGGAATTAAAAGTAAATATTCAATGTCAACAAATTATTTTAATGTAAATTTTTAATGTAAATGTATATCTCTTCGTATTTCTCTTGTACAGCAAAGTGTTCGAAGATGAACCGTTCATTTCATATACAGATAGCGCGAATAAGTCTGAATTACAAGAACTTTACAATGTATTGGTTGGTTCCTAAGGTCCGTCAAGCAACAACTTTTAACACAATCTACTATTTGGTGATATCTACTGCAAAGGATGTATCGAATTCTTTAGTTGGTCAACCAACAACTGTAAGTATTATTATCACGGAAATAATTAATTTTAGGGAAAAGAATAATCTGATTGTTTTTATTGTCTAGTTATTTACAATGACGTATGAATGAAAAGAAAAAACACAACTTCAGCTCTTCGTCGAGGTAAAACACAAGGACAGATATTCCGACGTATTCTACTTCACATAACTATCCACAATCATCCATTCATCAATATCTACATCCAAATACACGTCGAAATGACAACCTGCTTTACTGGTCACGAACAAAGAAGTTTTGCGACCGATTGCTTCGCGTGCTGAAGATTTTCCACGAACACTACCAATTCTTTTCGTTAGTTATACCAGAAATAATTTTTTATATTCAACACTGACTGCCTTCAAATTTATGTTACATTCCAACTGCCCAATGAGACAAAAGTGAGGATGTATCTCACAATATTTGAAACATTATAAAATTTATTATTTAGTAAACAAAATGCTGCGATCTTTGCCAGCATGAGAAAACAAGAACAAAAGAAGTCTGAATGATTATAATGTGCCTATCTTTATGTATGAGAAAGGTTACTAAGTAAATAACAATAAAGCTATTGATGAACTCATAAGTAATTTATAGTGAAAGAAGCCTGAAGCTGGTTCATTCGACTGTAAAACATATTGGATAATGCCAATTTTAATTGAAATTCATACATCATAATTTCCTTTGCATATTATTTGACCATTATTGCAAATCATCCGTCTTTTATTTATGATAAAACCATTTTCCCCCCCCCCCCCCTTGTAGTAATTTTACGACGAAGTTGCTACTACTTTTGTAGCAGTGATCGGATTTGGAAGTTTGCATAACTCCAAGAATAACAATAAAGTGAAGTGCGCATCGTTTCCTTTTCACCAAAATAATTTAAGTTATTTAATAATTTTATATTTAGTCCGAATGACTCACCATCATCCACTTTACTCACCAGCATTATGCAAACAATAATTCTCAATCTTAAATTCATCTAATAATCGACCCAGGCTAACTCTATCATTCGGCTTTCCTACTCTTGCAGCATTCATTTCAGCAGTATCAAATCGAGTTAGCGTTGCAATCGCATCTTTCATATGTTTACCCATAGCTTCCAAGTACTTCACATCCATATTGATATCATGTCCAACAAGCACCACAATCTTATCATCATTTTCACCATCCAACGTAATATCCCTCAGAAACTCTTCTGAAATCTTTTCCAAACTCGCCCAAACAGTTTTTCCAAACATGAAACGATCCTTCGCGTCCGAGACATATCGTCCATTCTTTAGGTGACGATATTTTTCCACGCAAAAATGACGATCCATAAATAAGTCTTTTCGTGCATCGTGTATACTCCATCCCACCTCGAGAATGCATGAATGATCGCGTTCGTAACTTTCCACGTCAACCGCCAAGAAAAAATATTTTTTCTCTCGATACATTTGTCGCGCGGTTGCTAATGCTTGAAGGAAATTCCAGAGTTTTGCGCTGGCGTCTGCTGCTTTGTTGAAGCTTTTTATCTCTTTCTCGATTTTATTATAATCGATTGCATTTTCAATGTAGAATGATTCCATGTTGGTGTATACAGTATTTTGTGCGACTGGAAAGAAAGTGAGTGGTGTTGATAGATGCGCCTCCAAATCAGTTCGGATATCTCTAACACCTTGCTCAGAAACTAACAAATATCGTTTAGCATCCACTTGACTAGTGCCTTTTTTATTTTGTAAAAATTATAATTAGAAGCGATATAAAATTCAATTGTGAATTTATTTTACACGCATACCAAGGAAAAACTCAGTTTTTGCGCGTCTATTAAAAAAATTAATTGGGTTAAAAAAACTGGACATGTTTTTTATCATCGCATCGTCCTTGGCTGATTTTCGCCATGCTTTGTTAATATAATCAAACCGAAAGTAAGTTTCAGCCGTTTCACTCGACATTTTTTAATTCAGCAATAACGATAATCAAACCATTAATATTTGCAAGCACGTGGTCGTTGGTCCAAAAGAGGAGCTTAAATTTAATTCTATTTACGCTATTCTAATCTCTAACACCGGAATCTAGTCGCGCAAAACTTTCTAGAGCTGCGCACGTACACCTTAGATCTACAATAAACTCTAAACAGTAAATGTAAAAAAAAGAACCTTCAAACATGGATTTCATCAAAATTACAAAGGTATAGTAATAACAAAATCAACAAAGATTCTATTCTAATCCTTTAATGAGATACGATGACACGTTATAAACGAACAAATATTTGTTATTTGAAGGTTGAAAATGTATTACTAGAAAAAAGAAAAATGACCCGGATCGGTACTCTTCACCTCACAACTCACCAACTAATTTTTATACACCCGCAAGAAGAGATGTGGGTAAGTAACGAAGCAAAATGCCAAACTCCATTAGGCATTTTTTGGAAAATCATTATTTCTTATGCAATTTCCTTTACAATTTGAGTAAAATAGGGCAATTTCAACTGAACTTGCTTAATCTAATAATATACGCAGAATCCTGAATTGTCTCTCGAAGAAAAGCACGTAAAAAGTACTGAAATATTCTTGAAATCATTATCAAATTCCATGTATATATATTTATAGATATCATATCCAACAATTCATACGGTGGAACGTAGACCTCTGGCATCTAATGGACATTGGCCTTTGCTGATTAGGTGTCGTGATTTTGTATTTGTTACTATATCTGTGCCAAGTGAACGTGAAGCAATAGATGTATTTGAGAGTATACAGAAATTGACTTGCATTAGTATGTGAAATTTATTCATTTTTTTGTTACCTTTTTCTTTATTACTGACATTCGTTTGTTATCGATTTCTGATTTGCGTCCGGAGAAGGTTCTATAGACCAACTTTGCGCTTTCTTCTATAAACCTCAATCACTAACCACGAATGATGGCTGGAAGATCTATGATCCCAGAGTAGAATTTGGTCGTATGGGAGTTGGTAGTAGAACTCGCACATGGAGATTATCAGAGAAGAACATAAAATATGAAGTAATCATCTTTAGCTTGATTCGAATTGATGAATTGTTTCTTAAATGTCACTCAAATTTCAATGAATCACTTCTCTTTTAGATTTGTTCAACATATCCACGGATATTGGTGGTTCCAGATAAAATTACTGACAATGTATTAACACATGCTTGCAAATTTCGTAGCAAAGGCCGAATACCTACCTTAAGTTATTTGCATTGGTCAAATATGGTAAGTATTGTATACATCAATGTAATAAGGAATATTGATCGCTAATAATATCAATTATTACTTCAGGCTTCGATAACGCGTTCTAGTCAACCTATGGTTGGCCTTAAACAAAATAGATCTTTACAGGACGAAAAAATTGTTGAAGCTATTTTCCAATCTAATGCTCCTCCTCCTACACCCTCTGGTCAACCAATTTATGGCTCGACAGCAACTAATTTGATTGTAGACGCTCGACCTACCGCTAATGCTATGGCAAATGTGGCAATGGGAGCAGGGACTGAAAATATGGACAATTACAAGAATTGCTCAAAACAATATATGGGAATTGATAATATTCATGTTATGAGAGAGAGTTTAGGAAAATTGGTGGAAGGTAAGTAAAGATCACAACCAATAACCATCATATGACAAATTGATATTCTTTAACCTGAATTATATGTGATTTTAATATATCCTGCCAGTCATTCAAAATGCAGATGCTCAAGGCTTGCCTATAAAAAAATATCACCTTGACAAGTCAAATTGGCTAAAGCATATTAGCATTTTGCTGGAGTCTTCTTCTATCATTATCAAAAATATTCATGTGAACAATTCACACGTTTTGGTTCATTGCTCAGATGGTTGGGATCGCACTGCTCAACTGACGTCAATATCAGAATTATGTCTGGATCCGTATTATCGTACCTTGCGTGGTTTTCAAGTATTGATTGAGAAGGATTGGTTATCATTTGGTCACAAATTTAGCGATCGTTCAGGGCATCTATCAAATGAACGATACTTTATTACTTCAAGTACAAATGCGGCAAACAATGCATTTAACTCGATGCAAAATAAGCTAAAGCAATCACATGTCCGCGAAACATCACCAGTTTTTCATCAATTTTTGGATTGTGTTTATCAAATTTTGGCTCAGCACCCTGAAAGATTCGAATTCAATGAACATTTGCTAGTCAGATTGCATTTTCATCTGTATTCTTGCCAGTACGGAACTTTCCTTTTCAATTCAGAAAAGGAAAGAAACGATTACAAAGTCACAACTTTAACATATTCCGTTTGGGACTACATTAATTCAAATAGAGAGCAGTTTTTGAATCCCGTGTATGATCACGGGATTAAAGACCGAGAAGAGATGGGTGATAAGGGAGTACTTTTCCCGGAATCGGATTGGAAGAATCTTAAATATTGGGCATCACTTTTTGATAAGCGAGATGAGGAACTCAACGGGGAAGAAACGGTTGAAGAAGTAAGTCCAATGACTAGGTCCCTATGGATGTCAGATAGTCCTGTCCCGAGATCAGGCTCACCCGATCCATTAGGAGCACTCAACGGAATTACCTGGAATGATGAACAATCTCAAACAATAACTTCACGTACCCCAAAAAATCTAAATTTAGATATAGACGATCCGTGGCGTGATAACAACAATAATAGTACTCATGAAAGTGACGAACTTTATGACGAATCAATCAAACCATTACATCGTAAAGAAAGTAGCAGCGAACTAAACGCGATTGTGCAAAATTTTGCAAGAATAACACTTAATTTTGGAGCACAAATCTTGGATGCTGCCAGTGTGAACTTTACAAGTAATGCAAATGATAACTCGAACGATATTGATCCTCAATCATCTGTTGAAAATTATGAGAGCAGGTTTGCAATGAAATCAATAAAGTTTATGACACTAAATTTCTTATTTTTTGCATTTTTCTTATTTCGAATCTAATCTGTTAACTGATATTTTTAACAAAGACATGGATCTCGTGAAATGTTGTCATTTTCTAATAACACAAATAGCATAAAAAATAGTTCTCCATCAAAATCCAGCCCATTATCATCTGCATTAAGACCTTGGAATACCTTTTCTGCAAGTATAGGATTTCCGACTACGTCTCTCAAATCTCGAGAAAGAAATTCATTTCCAGCGCCAGAGATTACAAATTCTGCTACTACCACTCCACCAATCTCACCTCAAACCGAACCTCATCCATTATTTTTGTATGATTCGTGATAATATTGTCCAGAATGTGCGTGTACCTTTGGAATCGCATAGTGAAAATTAATGTTGGTGGAAATGAGATCATTCTGCCAACACCATCATAAGAAGGCAATTATTATTACTATTATTGTTTTTATTTATATTTATATTTATAACTAGAAAGAATGATAAAGACGCGTTTTTGATAATTAAATAATGAGTTTGATTTTTTGTACGCGTTTTATTATCCTATTGATTTTTGTCATGTAGAAATAAATGTACACTTATATATATACACTCACCTTTAATAAGTATTTAAAAAAATGTGCGAAATTTTGATTTATATATGGCATGTAATGCCAATGCCACGACCCGAATAAGTATATTACCTTTTTCTCGGCGCGTAACACTCACGTGATTTTTTGGTATCTTGATGTGGTTAAGCCATAATATCGTGATTTATTATTATATGCCTGATTGAGAATTTTTACTTAAATATATCATCGGATTTTTATACTTGTGGAAACTCTTGCTATAATTATTCGTGAATCATGTCAATATCATCGATTTGTATAATAAATTGCTTAAAATAATTATTATTCTGTTCTTTCAAGTGTTATATTACAAGACATAATTAATTTGTGTAATCTTTGCATATAAAGTCAAATTTTATGTTTTTTTCTGAGCTATTAATAATCAAATTTCTAATTTATTGTGATCTGATTTAGCATTATAATTATTTTTTTGATGGTAAAATAAAAGTTATAAAGTTAAAAGATTTTTTATTTAAATTTATAGATTTTTTTTCTTATTTTAAATAAAAATTTAAAGTTTTCAAGAATATTGAATTGGAAAAACTTGCATTTGTTATTTATAATAATTGTAACACATTTTTTTATTGGTATCAAATTTAATAATAAATGAATTTTTTATAACTTTATTTTCTTTATTTTTAAGCCTAATATTTATTAAATTTTGTTAAAATACAATTATAATAAATTTTAAGTATTTATATAATTCAAATAAATATAAAATATTATATATTAATAATTTTTTGAAAGAAAATTTAAACAAAAATCCAATAATTTACAAATAAATCATTATATTTTTTTAATAATAAAATAAATTAGAAAATTTTGAATAAGTATAATTTTTAATGTATTAATATTTCAAATTAAGTTATCAATTACAAATTTGAATTAATAATCAAGATCAAAAATGAAAAGTCATATTGTTATATAATGATCTTTCATTATAATATTTTATTATTGGATTATACGTATCTCATATCTTATTGAATAAAGATCAAATCACATGAAGTGAGCGAACAAGCAAGCGAACAAACGAACAAACGAATAACTAAATGAATGAGCGAATGAATATTAAACCAATAGAATTTAAGTGATATAGCGAACATGAATTTGTATAGCCTAGAAATTATATTTTGGATTTGTATAAAAGTAACATGTATCATAGTTATTAGAAGTAGATATGAACAAGTCCTTCTAGATGGTAATTCCCAATTATCACATCTAATTAGTTATCACGTAGTTTTGATTGTTCAAAGAAAAGTAGTTTGCACTTTATGTAGAGTAGGTAGTCAAGCGCAAACTCCTCTCTACACCCTTTTGACAAAGTATTCTTGTTTCTTGTATAATAGCTTTATAAGAAGTTATACAGATCTTGAATCAACATATATTATAGTAGCTTAAGCAGTCTTACCAGGAGTGCTATAAAGTTATTATCTTTATTCTAGACTTTCTGAACACGTTGTAATAAAGTCTATTGAACATTATATTAAATAAAGAAATTATTATTATAATTTATAAATCTGTCTTTGAGATTGTATTGCTAATAATATATTGCTCATAAACTTATCTTTGATTTTGTATTGCTAATAATACATTGTTCATACACTTATCTTTGATTTGTATTGCTGATAATATGAATATTATATCTTATATTTGATTTTAAAAATTTAAAGACGTTTTAATACGTATATTATATTTGACATTGAAATTTTGAGAACTCTTTTTAGCAATCTAATTATTATGTTAAAAGAACACAACTGTTATCAACCTTTAAGTGATTTTGTCACTAGTGCTTTTAATACTTATTCACATTCAGTCTAATAGTCATAAAGTATTATTAATACTTTGAATTGTTATTAAGATATCAGAAATTTCTCTTTGAATCTTTCTTAAATTTTATAAATATCTTTGAGTATTTCGAAAGCTTTATCAAAATGATAACAATATTAAAATTTTACTTTTGATATTTAATAAAATAGTTTTGATAGATAATATTAATAAGAATATATATTTTATTTAGATTTTAGTTTGTAATTATTATTATTTATTCAAATTTAAGTTTAAAAATTTATTCAAAAAAAATAACAATAAAGAATCAAAAAAATATAATTGTTTATAGCTAAGGATAATTGCTGAAATGATGTCATCTAATTAAATAATTTGCCAAAGTTAACTTGCTGAAATTAAATTTAAAATTATTTTGACTTATTTTATTAGTAGCTGAAATTGTTTTCTGAAATTATTTGAATTCTACAAATCAAAACAAGTATTTTTAGGTGATTTTTAAGTATTTATTAATATAAGCAATATAGCAAAACTAAATTATTTGCTGAAATATTATTTTTTTCAAAAATAATTTAGGAAACCATCTTTATTTATAGCTTATTTATTTCAATTATAATAAAAAATTAAATAATATCATTTTTTATAAGTTACTTTTTATTATAATTATTTATTTATTTTAGCTAAAAATACTTGTTAAAATCTTTTAGTAGTTATTAAAATTCTATTAAAATTATAATAATCTATTAATAAGTAAAATATTAAAATTTTATTGAGTTTTGAAATTTGTTATAATTAAAATTTTATTAAATTTTTAATTAATAATTAATAATTAATATAACTTGCTTGAAACTAGCAAAATATTTCTGAAGTAATTTTAGTAAATATTTTAATTTTAGCTTAATATATATTTTTTATTTGCTAATTATTATATATTAGAAAATATTAAGAAAAATATTCATTTTGTAAAAAGAAGTTAATATTTTAATATAATAAAATATAATTTAATTGCAAAAAAATAAATAATTAAATAAATATATATAATTTAATTAATATTAATTATTTCTATTTGCTACAGTATAGTCGCATTCTAATTCTATACTAATTTAACTTACAAAGTAAGAATTACAAATTAAAGTTTAAAGAAAAGAGCCATCAGAAATCTATAAAAGAGAATCACAATGTGACTAGTTACCTAGACATGTCTACGATTATGTGAAGCCTATAGGATTAATAAATAAGTCATTTTCAGCTTGAAGGGTATATATTAGTGAGATTATTTGATCTTCTTGAAGATTAGCAAGATCTTCATCAGGGCATTGATTGTTAAAATGAGTAGAAGCTGGATGCTTGCATGAATAAAGGTTGTTTTTCATGTGAAGCCAAAAGATATTAGTATTGGAATTAGAGGATGTAGTTATTTTGGATCTTTCTGTTCTTTTTTTGGAAGTATGTTTGTGTCTGGCAAAGATGAAATTTGATTTTTCTGCTTTGATTTGATTATTGCAACGAGTCAGCCAAATGTAAGTGAAATCTTGTTTGGAAAACCAAATTACAAATTTTGCTGATAGTATGGAAGCTTTTGATTTGGATGGATCAAGTAAATTGATAAAGTTTGTGAGTTCTAATGGAATGAAATCTTTGAAGACTAGCATGTATTCAGGTTTATGACTTATATTGGAGGAGAGATCAGCATTATTGAGAAAATAAGATTTTTTTGTGAAGTTTTTGATTTCAGAGCTGAGTGAGAATGAAGAATTCTGATTGTTATTTGATGAGAAGTGCTTTGTGAGTATTTTTTTGAGCTTGACTTGGGATTTGATAAGAATGAATTTGATTTGATCACTTGAGTTTGGACAAGTTTATAAGTGATTGTTTATTTCTGATTCAAGGTAACATCTGTTACACGTGTCATGTGAGTATATTAATAGATAAAATTTGTATTGATTAGATAGTATTGGTAGCATGTTATGTATTATTTTGGTGAAGTATGTATGAAACTTGAATGCATTTGTGAAGGCTGCTAGTGAGTTGATTCCTTTGTTTTGATTTCATGTGAGATTAGTTGCTTTTCAGTCTATTGTGAATCAGAAATTGCGATTTATGAAGTTGTTTTTTAGTGTGTAAAGTTACCATTTGGTAATATTACATTTGTTGTCTTGAAGTTTGAAGAATTTGTGAAGATTTGATGTTATGAATAGTGAGAGATTAAAAACTGGAATGTAAGATGTTTCAGGAAATGAGTTGAAGTTAGTTAAAATAGAATGAGAAGTAGAAGCTGATTTGGCTAAGATATCTGTCAGGTTATTGCCAGAATTATTGGAGTGTTCTTTGATTTTATACAGATTAAGATTTAGATTTTTTTCAATGATATTGTGATTCATGATCTCCCATAAATGCCAATTGCATTTCTGTAAAAATCGTCTCTTGCTGAGATTATTGCAAAGTGTTATATTATTTTTGAAGTCGCCAATTGTTGCTTGACTATTTGTGAAAATTTAAAGAATGGTATTGTTGGTGAGCATTTCTGTTAAAGTACAGATAGCTTGTATTTCTGATGTAGTTGTTGAGGTGATTGTGGGAGAATGATGAGCAAAAGAAATGTTTGAAGACCAAGTTATCCAGGTTGAACTGGATTTTACATGCGATATATACATTTGTTAAATGGAACCATTAGTAAAAATATCTATGTTGTTAAAATGAGAAAGATTTTTTTTAATGGAAAACCAAGTGTTGGTTTCAGATGATGCTGTTAAATGTTTGTTAATTAGTAGTAATTCACTTTGGAGTAAAGATTATTGCTGTTTGCTTATTTTGTTTGTGATGATACGAGTTGATGATATAAAGTTATTGAGAACAGTATTTTCTAGTTGATTGTACTATAGGGATTTGGGATCATGTTTACTGTTTCAGAATTGATTCTTGTATTGTCACCAAGTT